AACTCCACTGCTTAACAAAGAGTAGGTGGGACACCAGACTCTTTCTCAGAGCTTTCCTGAGTGGCTGGAGACTTTGACTTGCAATTGAGCATTCTCTCCGATAAAAACTGCTCCCACACAAGCTAAGGCCAAACCAGATCAGGAAGCTCTCGGAAGTCCTGGACCCCTCCAGTGGCGCAGCTTTCAGAAGCCTGCCACAGGGGGAAAAAGTTCAGCAAGGAAGTCTCAGACTGTTAAACCTTTCTCCTCAATCCCCCCAATTCCTCCTCTCCGACGCTAAAGAGATGACCGGGAAAGGCCTGCGGATGATTCTTTTGGGAACTGTACACTTGGGCCCTCCACCAGAACCACTCCTTTTCGAGTGTCCTGACGCCTGAGAATCCACGAGCTGGTCCGAGAGGGCTGGAGCAAAGGCAACAGCCACCTTCGCGGTGAGAAAAAGGGTAGAGGCAAGAACTCGAGTCGGGCTCTCTCGGAGGGGGCCAGGGATGACAGCCCGACTCCATACTGACCCTCGGGCTGGTCAGGGAGGTGAAGGTCCGCCCGCTGCCCCCGCCCCCACTGTTGGGGGAAGGGGCGGGGGCTCCGGAGCGCCGCGGATCGAGCTGGGAGGAGGCAGAGGAGGAGAGGGAGGCGGGGCGGGCAGGCCCGGCCCAGGAGCTGGGCGGCGCGACTCACCTCTGCTCCCGGCCTGCGGCGCCAGAGTAGCCAAAATCCCTCGCAGCTCCGACGCGGAGATCCTCACACGCTCCAACCCCTCCGCCATCTTCGCGGCTGCTGCTACAGGGCAGCTACTCCGCTACCGCCGCGCGCAGCCAGGAAACCACCACAGACGGGCGGCGCGCGCGCTCACCCACCTCCCACCCTCTCCCCCGCCCTTCCCGCCTTCCCTCTCCAAACGACGGTGGCCGTACTGGGAGGAAAAGTGCTGAACGCAAATTCGAGAGGGGCAGTACCGGAGCGCGAGCCTGGGCGGGACAGGCGCGCGCTGCGCGTGCGCAGAGGCGTAGTCGGGAGAAGGTGAGCTGAGGCTGGAGTTGGAAGGCGCAGCGCGTGTGAGGTGAGGTGAAGCCGGGCCTGCAGGCCGGGCGGGCATTCGCAGGGGGGCTGCCGTTTTTGTTGTGGCCACCGAGGACACTAGTGCTGGTCTGAGACTCGGGTTAACGGAGACATGCTACAATCTCCGGCCTCCTCCAGTGGTCTTAGGCCGGGGTCCCTTGCCACAGGCCCGGGCTGGTGCCCCAGGCTTTCACTTGGGGACCGTAAAGATCTCGTTAGAGGCTGGGCTTGGTGGCTCAGCCTGTAATCCCAGCGCTTTGGGAGACCGAGGTGAGTTGATTGCCTGAGTCCGCGGGTTCGAGACTCGCCCGGACAACTTGAAGAGACCTCATCTCTACAACAAATCAAAAATTAGCCGGGCGTGGTAGCGCGCGCCTGTAGTTCCAGCTACTCGGAAGGCTGAGGCGGAAGGATCGCCGGAGCCCAGTAGGTCGAGGCTGCGGTGGCCGAGAGTGTGCCACTGCACTCCAGTCTAGGCAAAAAAGTGAGACTCCAAATCAAAAAAGTAAAATAAAGAATAATTAAAGATCTCGTTAGTTATTATTATTCGCTTTTTTAAGATAAGGAAACGGAATCCCACAGCATTGGATTGCTCAAGGTGGACATAGTTGATAAGTACAAGACTATCAAGCTTTTCTCGTTATGTATTGCAAACTACATCCCCAAATCTGACCTTTAAAATACTAAATATACGTTGACTCTTGCTGAGGAAAGGAGTTGTGTGGAGGTAAGTCAGGAGGTATATAAGATTACTTGGGGATTTTTGTGTCGCTGGGGATTCTTGAAAAAATTACTTCCCTGGATCTCAGGTTGACTCCCTCCCCCCCCATTTAAAAAATGTCATTGGACCAGGAGGCAGGTGCTTTAACCATTTTTCATTTTTGTCCATGCACTCCTGCTAAGAACTGTGGTGTAATGAAACTCCCATGAGGTTGGCTGCCTCCACCTGTTGCTCCTTCCCAGTTCCACACCATCTTTTAGACCTCTAAACCATCACATCTTTTAGTCTGAGCCTAAAAGATTTGAACAGTCGCCAACAGAACTCATTCGTTTCCTATTACAGGACAGACACTTTGTAACCAGAAGGTTAATCATAAGGAGAAAGTCAATGGGTATGTGATAAGATATGACAGTTCAAAAGAAGGGGAGTTATTTGAGTGGTTCTAGGAGATGGCAATCCTTGCAACAGATTTGAGAGAAATAGGAAGAAGTTAAAAACTAATTTGTTTCACATTGAAATTTGAGAGAACGTTGCATCAATTTTTTTTAAGATGGAAAAACAAACAAAACTTTCTTAGAACAAACATGATTGCCAATTGAATGCAAACTGTCAGTGAACTACAGATTAAATATGCCAAAAGTTAAACCATTTCAGGAAGAATTACCAGATCTCAGAGGGAAAAGATAGCAGATAAAAACTAGGAGATAAGGATAGGCCACATGGAGAATGGGTTCAAAAAACTCATAATTAAATATGAGTTTCAAAAGATGATAAGAGCTGACGAAGAGCAATAATCAAATAATAGAAGAAAATGTACTAAGTGGATGGAAAAATTTGAATTCTCAGATTTCAAAGATTCATGAAATACCAGTTAAAAAGGCAACCATCTTTATATGTTGATATAGAGAAGTCTTCAAAAGATATTGTTAAATTTTTTTTCTTTAAAAAGATAGTTGCAGAACAGTATATATAGTATGGTTCTATCTGTATGCAGCAAAACTACTTATTGTATATGTACATTTCTCTATAAATACATCAAAGAAGGTGTGGAAGAATACATAAATACCACCAAGCTTTTAAAAGTGGTTACTTGGCGGAGCGCAGTGGTTAATACCTGTAAACCTAGCACTTTGGGAGGCTAAGATTGCTTGAGACCAGCCTAGGCAACATAGTAAGATCCTTATCTCTTTTTTAAAAAATTGTTTTTTATTATTTTCTTAAGAAAATAATTTTAAAAGTGGTTTCATGGTGAACTATAAAGACTCTATTTACTTTTTTTTTTCTTTTTCTTTTTCTTTTTTTTTCTGAATTGGAGTCTCACTCTGTTGCCCAGGCTAGAGTGCAGTGGCACGCTCACGGCCACCACAGCCTTGACCTCCTGGGCTCAGGCGATCCTTCCACCTCAGCCTTCCAAGTAGCTGAAACTATAGGCACCACCATACTTGGCTAATTTTTTTTTTTTAATTGTAGAGATGAGGTCTCCCCGGGTTGCCCAGGCTGGTCTCGAACCCATAGGCTTGGCAGTCCTCACCTTGACCTCCCAAAGTGCTAGGATTATAGGCATCAGCCACCATGCCCAGCAATTTTTTTTTTTTAATAGAGATGTGGGGGCAGGTCTCACTATGTTGCCCAGGTTGGTCTTGAACTCCTGGCCTCAAGCAGTCCTCCCACCTTGGCTTCCCAAAATGCTGGGAACCACCTTGCCTAGCCTCAAGTTTTAAATTCTTAAAATAAGTACTTGTCACATATATGAGTAATCCAAAAAACAGTAAAGTAAATTTGTGGATAATGGAGGAAGGAATAATTCAATTTCTAAAAATAAAAATTGTACAGGTCACATGCTGAGTACAAAGTGATAAAACTAGAAATGAAAAACTATGAATTAAGCAAAAAAATTTGACCCTTTGAAATTTTTTTTTTTTTTTGAGTTGGAGTCTCACTCTGTCACCCAGACTGGAGTGCAGTGGCACATTCACAGCCACCGCAACCTTGACCTGCTAGGTTCAGGTGATCCTTCTGCTTCAGCCTTCCAAGTAGCTGGAACTACCACCACGCCCAACTAATTTTTCTTGATTTATTGTAGAGATGAGGTCTTACCAACTTGCCCAGGCTGGTCTCCAACCCCTGAACTCAGGCACTCCTCACCTCAGCCTTCCAAAGTGCGGGGATTATAGGCCTGGGCCACCGTGCCTGGCCTGGAATTTTTTTTTAATACCAATTTTAAGTAACTTATGGGTCAAAAAAATACAACAAGACTAAGATCTTGGATCCTTTAGAAACTACAGTAATGAAAATATTGCATAACAGAATCCATGATATGTCATTTTGTAGCCTTAAATGCTTGTATTATTTAAAAATGTGAAAATGTTGAATAAGCATTCAACAAAAATAAAAAACCATTAAAAGGAAAATAGAAGGAAGAATAAAGATAAAATCAGAAATAAGGAAAAAGATAAGTTGAAGAGCTCATTTTTCAGAAATAAAATAGACACTAAAATAGATACATTTCTGGCAAAAAGTAATTTTTTAAAAAAGGACATCCTCTTGGATGTCTCACAAGCAATTCTAATCAAATCTGATTTTTCCCTCAAATACTTGTTGCTTCATCAGTCTTAAATCTCAATCAATTATATCACGATCTAAGTCAAAACCCAGGTGTTATTCTTGACAATTCCATCCCTCTTGCTTCCTACATTCAATCCAGTATCAGGCTGTCTCTTCTGTGTCTATAGTGAACATATATGGAACCATCTCCCCTTCCTTTTCACTTGTAAACCACCTCTTACTCCCACCCAGAAATACTTTATCTCTTTCTTTTTTTCTTTCTTTCCTTTTTTTTTTTTTCTTGCCTCCATCGCTCTCATATTTTGCTGCTATTTTTCCCTCAGGTTCAAAGAATTGAACCGGTCATAGTAGTTTATTCACACTATCATCAGCAAAACTTGTCTCATTTCTCTTTTTTCTTTTCATTTCAATTCCCACTCATATTCCTTCCCTCCTTCCTTAGATAGGACTCTAATGTGTTTGATATGTTTTTGAATATACACGTATTTTTGAATAACATATAATGTTTTATGTATGTATTTGTTTTAAATGTACATAATTGATGTGTTACAGATCTCATTCTGTTTCTTTTTCATGTTTCTCTAAATACTTCTGGCTATTGCATAGTGTTATCTTAAATGAACTCATACCCATGGCCACTGGTCCTGGGCCAAGATGGGCCAGAGTCCTTACCCAGAATTTTTTGAACTGAAACTAAGAAGGAAAATTCCTCTACAGTGTGGAAGCCATAAAATGTAAAACATAGGAGCTGCCAGTAGCCATGTGTACTGCTATATGGAACCAGCTGGTCTGCAGTGAAAAAGAAGCGGACATGCAGAAAGCAGCAGAGGTGAGAAATTGAGAGTCCTAGAAGTTCTCAAATCCCTAGTTACAATTGTTTTTAAAAGTCCATATTCCTCTCATTCCCATGGTTTGTTCAACTCTTCCATGGATTCCATGAACCAGTAAATCTCAACACCTTCATCTTGTGCCTACTAAGCTAGTTCAAATTGGAGTTCTATCATTTGCAACCAAGAGTCCTAACTAATTGTAACCTCCAAGATAAATTTTTTTAGAGGTAATTTTTTTTTAATTGTGGTAAAATACACATAAAATGTACTCTTTTTTTTTTCCCCAAAGACAGGATCTGGCTCTGTCTCCCAGGCTGGAGTTCAGTGGCATGATCATAGCTCACTGCATCCTCCTACTCTGGGGTAAATTACCATTTTTAAGTGTATGTTTCAGTAATGTTAAGCACATTGCACATTGTTGTGCAAACAGTCTCTGGAATACTATACCCATTAAACAACTCCTCATTCCTCCAACCACTGCCCCTGGCAACTACTCTTCTACTCTCTATGAATTTGACTACTCTAAGTACCTCATATAAGTGGAATCATGCAGTATTTGTCTTTTTGAGACTGGCTTATTTCATTTAGCATAATGTCCTCAATGTTCATGTTATAGCATGTTTTAGAATTTCCTCCTTTTTAAGATTGAATATTTCATTGTATGTTTATACCATGTGTATATTCTTCTTTCAGTGCACTCTTGGATAGCTTCTACCTTTTGATTGTTGTGAATTATGCAGTTATGAACGTGGGTGTACAAATATTGCTTCGAGACCCTGTTTTCATTCCTTTTGGGTCTACATCTAGCAGTGGAATTGCTGAATCATGTGATATTCTGTTTGATTTTGTGAGGAATTGCCATACATACTGTTTACCATATCTGTTGTACCATTTTACATTCCCACTAACAGTGTATAAGGGCTCCAATTTCTCTACATCCTTATCAACACTTATTTTTGTTTGTTTTATAGTAACCATCCAAATGAATGTGAGGTAATACTTAATTGTGGTTTGGGTTTGCATTTCCCCAAGGATTAGTGATGTCAAGCATCTTTTCATATGCTTTTTGGAGGAATTTCTGTTCAAGGTCTTTGCCCATTTCTTTTTTTTTTGAGTTGGAGTCCCACTCTGTCACCCAGGCTGGAGGGCAGTGGCATGCTGCTGGCCACCATAGCCTCAACTTGCTGGGCTTAGGCTATCCTTCTGCCTCAGTCTTCCAAGTAGCTGGAACTATAGGCACATGCCACCATGCCCAGCTAATTTTCTGATTTATTGTAGAGATGAAGTTTTACCAAATTGCCCAGGCTGGTCTCGAACTCGTAGGCTCAGGCAGTCCTCTCACCTCGGCCTCCCAAAGTGCTAGGATTATAGGTGTAAGCCACTGCACCCGGCTCTTTGCCCCCCTTTTTTTTTTTTTTGAGTTGGAGTCTCACTGTGTCACCCAGGCTGGAGGGCAGTGGCACGCTCACGGCCATTGCAGCCTTGATCTGCTGGGCTCAGGCTATCCTTCCACCTCAGCCTTCCAAGTAGCTGGAACTATAGGCACGCACTATCATACCCAGCTGATATTTCTTGATTTATTGTAGAAATGAGGTGTTGCCAAATTCCCCAGGCTGGTCTCGAACCCATGGACTAAGGCAGTCCTCTCACCTCGACCTCCCAAAGTGCTGGGATTATAGGCATGAGCCACCACACCAGGCTTTTTTTTTTTTTTTAAGGGACAGGGTCATGCTCTGTCAACTAAGCTGGAATATAGTGGCATGATCATAGCTCACTGCAACCTCAAAATCTTGGCTTCAAGTGATCCTCCTGCCTCAGCCTCCCAAGTAGCTGCGATACAGGCAGGCACCTCAAACCCAGCTAATTTTCTCGCTCTGTCGTCCAGGCTGGAGTTCGATGGCACACTGACAGCTACCGACCGAAGCCTTGACCTGCTGGGCTCAGATGATCCTTTCACCTCAGCTTTCCAAGTAGCTGGAACTACAAGTGCACACCACCACACCAGGCTAATTGTTTTATCTATTGTAGAGATGAGGTCTTGCCAAGTAGCCCAGGCTAATCTCAAATCTCTGGACTCAGGCAGTCCTCTCACCTCTGCCTCCAAAAGTGCTGGGATTACAGCCATGAGCCACTGCACCCCACCCATTTGTGAATTGTGTTTGTTTTTCCAAAATGTATCTCTTTTTTTTCTTTTCTTTCTTTTCTTTGAGACAGCATCTTTCTGTGTTGTGCAGGCTGGAGTGTAGTGGCATGATCATAGCTCACTGCAGCCTCGAACTCCTGGGCTCAAGGGATCTATTTTTTCTATCTCAACTTTTGCCATCCAACCCCCCTTTATCTTTCATGTGGACGATTGCAATACCTCTTAACTGGACTCCTGGACTTCACTCTCTTCCCCTTCCTTTACATTTACCACAATGTAGCCAGAATGATTTTCTAAAATTATGAATTCTAACATTTCACCATTTTGCTTACCTGCTCAGAATTCTTCAATGGCATTCTTTACTCTTTAAAAAAAAATCCTTGAATCACAGTGCTACATGATCTGGACCCTGCCAACTTTACTCTCCATATATCTTATGATACTTCCTTTGATCACTATTTTAAGACACATTTTTAGTTCCAAGAATATGCCCAGCTCTTTTCCTTCTTAATGCCATCACACATGTTATTCCCACTACCTGAAACACTTGTCCCCTATTGTGCCTAGCTAAAACCCATTCATCTTATGGATCATAAATTTTATTTCTCATGAGAGACCCTTAACCTGTTTCCCGGATCTACATAGGACTCCCAGTTATAGTACCTGTCTTAGTCCATTTTGTGTTTCTATAAAAGAATATCTGAGACTGGGTAATTTATAAAGAAAAGTTTATGTAGCTCACAGTCCTGCAGGCTGAGAAGTTCAAAGACATGGCCCTGGCTTCTGGCAAAGGCTTTCATGTTATGTCACAACATGGCAGAGAAGATCAAAGGGGAAGCAGACATGTGCAGAGAAATGAGAAAACCTGAGGGGTGTCCTTTCTTTGTAACAACCTACTTTCCTGGGAGAACTAATCTATTTTCATCAGAGCAGGAACTCACCTCCTCAGGAATAGCACCAATCCATTCATGAGGGATCTGCCCCCATAACCCAAACACCTCCCATTAATCCCTATCCCCCAATGCTACCACTCTGCAGATCAAATTTCAACATGAGTTTTAGTGGAGACAAATAAACAATATCCAAACAATAGCACTACCCTAATAGCACCTAGTAATCTGTCAATACATACTCATTTTTGCATTATTTACTACACATCTCCAACTAGATTGTAAGCTTTATGAGGACAGGGACAAGTCTATTTTTCTAACACTATATTCGCAAACCAAACAGTACCTAACATATAGAAAGTATTCACTATTTGTTGATTGAATAAACAAACCACAATTATGAAAGCTGTTTAGAAATATTAATACATACAACTGCCAGCATGGTGGCTCAAGCCTGTAATCCCAGCACTTTGGGAGGCAGAGAGGATTTCCTGAGCTTAGGGGTTTGAGACCAGCCTGAGTAACATGGTGAGACCTCATTTCTACAGTAAAAAGTTAGGCAGGTATGGTAGCACATGCCTATAGTTCCAGCTACCTGGAAGGCTGAGGCAGCAGGATCACCTGAGGCCAGCAGGTTGAGGCTACGGTGGCCATGAGCATGCCACTGCACTCCAGCCTAGGCAACAAAGTGAGACTCTGACTAAAAACAAAACAAAAAACCCACACTAATAAATCTGAAATTTCAAATTAAGTGATTTTGCCAAAAATATAAATTACATTAATTCAAGAGGAGGTGGTAAAACCATATAAACTAAGAACTATGAAGTTACTGGAAAAGTTATCAGAGGTATATTTATAAGATAGAGATGGAGGCCAGGTGCAGTGGCTAAAGCCTCTAATCCCAGGACTTTGGGAGGCTGAGGCGAGAGGACTGCCTGAGTCCAGATTTTGAAACCAACCTGGGCAACTTGGCAAGACCTCTTCTCTACAATAAATTAAAAAAAAAAAAATTAGCTGGGCGTGGTGGCGCTTGCCTGTAGTTCCAGCTACTTGAAAGGCTGAGGTGGAAAGATCGCCTGAGCCCAGCAGGCCGAGGCTGTGGTGGCTGTGAATGTGCCACAGCACTCCAGCCTGAGTGACAGAGTGAGACTCTGACTCAAAAAAAAAAAAAAGATAGAGATGAATTATTTATAGATACCATGATCATTTTATTTAAAGGAGTGAGAAGAATCAACTATAAAAGTATCAGATATAACAAGATATAAAGGATCCTACTACATACATGATATACATACAAAAATTATTAGCTTTCATATACATCAACAGTAACTTTAAAATCTAATGTAAAAAATATCTTATCTCAAAAACAACAAAAATATGTTGTACTTAAGAATAAATTTAGGTCATGCATGGTGGCTCAAGCCTGTAATCCCAGCACTTTGGGAGGCTGAGGTGAGGATTGCGGGAGCCCATGGGTTCGAGACCAGCCCGGGCAACTTAGTGAGACCTCATCTCTACAATAAATCAATAAATAAATCATGGTAGCGCAGCTGTAGTTCTGGCTACTTGGCATTCCAGTCTGGGCGACAGAGTGAGACTCCAACTCAAAAAAAAAAAAGAAGAAATTTAATCAGGCATATTCAAGGCACAAAGACAACTATGAAAATTACACTGATAAGTTAACAAAAAGACTGATAACTTGAAAAACACCATGTATCTTACAACGGAATTTCTGGCAACCTTGATAAAGGAATTCTAAAGTTCACTTGGAAGAATTGATGTGTGAGAAAAGCCAACAAATTAATTATACTTATAAATGAATTCAATGTATAACTGGAAAAGCAACTGACAGTCTGAACAATGGAACAAAATACAAAAGCCCCAAGCATTAGTAGAGATTTAATTTTTGATAAATGTAGCATTTCAGAGGAAAATGGTATGTTAACGATTCACAAAAGAATAAATGGCCAATATGCAGAGAAAAATGTTCAATCACTAGTAATGAATGTAAATTAAAACTACTAGATATAATTAAATTGACAGATAAAAATGATTCAGCAAGAATTAAGGAAAATGGGCATTCTTTAGAAACTGCTGTAGGGATTACAAATTGATGTAATCTGCCAGGCATGGTGGCTCATGCCTGTAATCTCAGCACTTTGGGAGGTGAAGGCGGGAGAATTGCCTGAGTTCAGAGGTTCAAGACCAGCCTGGACAACTCGGTGAGACCCCATCTCTGCAATAAAAAATAAAAAAATTGCCGGGCACAGTGGCTTACGCCTTGGCTTACGCCTGGGCTTACGCCTGTAATCCCAGCATTTCAGAAGACCAATGCGACAGCACTGCCTGAGCCCATGTGTTTAAGACTAGCTTGGGCAACTTGGCAAGACCTTGTCTCTAAAATAAATACATAGATAGAATAGATAGCTGGGTGTGGTGACACACTCCTATATTTTCAACTACTTGGAAGGCTGAGGAGGAAGGATCGCCGGAGCCCCGTAGGTCGAGGCTGCAGTGGCCATAAGCGTGACACTGCACTCTAGCCTGAGTGACAGTGAGACTCTGACTCAAAAAAAATAAAAATAAAAATATTAGCTGGACATAGATGAGGTTGCATTGGCTGTAAGTATGCCACTGCACTCCAGCCTAGGTGACAAAGTGAGACTCCAACTCAAAAAAAAAAAATGTAGTCTACAACCCTTCTGGAGGTCAGTTTAACAGTGGCTATCAAATGTCTTAGAAGTGGGTATGCGCCCCGGGTGTAGTGGCTCACACCTATAATCCCAGCACTTTGGGAAGCTGAGGCAAGAGGATTGCCTGAGCCCCTGGGTTCAAGACCAGCCTGGACAACTTGGCGAGACGGACCTCGTCTCTACAGTAAATCAAAAAATTAGCTGGGCATGGTAGAGTGTGCCTGTAGTTCCAGATATTTGGAAGGCTGAGGTGGAAGGATTGCCGGAGCCCAGCAGATAGAGGTTGCGGTGGCCATGAGTGTGCCACTGCACACCAACCTGGGCAATAGAGTGAGACTCGAACTCAAAAAAAAAAAAAAATGAACATAGTTAATTTAGCAAAATGGCAGGATTCCAGCTAATTTTGTTTAAAAAGAAAAACAAAAAAACTTTTTAGCCGGGCTCAGTGGCTCAGCCTGTAATCCCGCGCCTTTGGGAGACTGAGGTGAGTGGGTTGCCTGAGCCCGCGGGTTCGAGACCCGCCTGGGCAACTTGGCGAGACCTCATCTCTACAATAAATCAAAAAATTAGCCGGGTGTGGTAGCGTGCACCTGTAGTTCCAGCTACTTGGAAGGCTGAGGCGGAAGGATCGCTGGAGCCCAGCAGGTCAAGGCTGTAATGGCCGGGAGCGGCCACTGCCCTCCAGTCTGGGCAACAGAGTGAGACTCCAGTTCAAAAAAAAAAAAACTTTAAAAAAATTTTTAGAGCAGATTTTGAACCCGATTCATTCAAGTAGCTTCACAGTAGAAAAGGAAGGTGAAGATCAGCGGCAATGCCAAGAGATGGGTGGTGCTATGAGTGGGAAGTAGGCTTTAGCTTTCCATCATTACCATCAGTTGCTTCCTACAAAGCTTCATCAGAAAAACTTCATTCAATTTCAATACAAGTCCCTTCTATATAGAAATTCTGGCACTCCAGTAATGGAACCAGTTCCCAATACCACAGGCTCCAGGTCCATTCTATTATGCATTTTCAAAAAAAATTTTCTTTTGAATTGGAGTCTCACTCCGTCACCCAGAGTGGAGTGCAGTGGCCACTCCCAGCCACCGCAGCCTCGACCTGCTGGGCTCCGGAGATCCTTCCGCCTCAGCCTTCCAAGTAGCTGGAACTACAGGCGCGCGCTACCACACCTGGCTAATTTTTTTATTTATTGTAGAAATGAGGTCTCGCCAAGTTGCCCAGGCGGGTCTCGAACCCACGGACTCAGGCAATCCACTCACCTCAGCCTCCCAAAGCGCAGGATTACAGTCTGAGCCACCGAGCCCGGCTTAAAATATTTTTAATCAACATTGTCTCAGGCTTTGCTTTGACCTCTTCTTATTCCTGGGTTTCAGAATCATGTGTGCTCAGTACTGCATCTCCTTTGCTGATGTTGAAAAAGCTCATATCAACATTCGTGATATTATCCACCTCACACCAGTGCTAACAAGCTCCATTATGAATCAAGCAACAGGGCGCAATCTTTTCTTCAAATGTGAGCTCTTCCAGAAAACTGGATCTTTTAAGGTAACAAATCCCTTTTCTTAGTGTATCATATATGTTTTCAAACCCCTTTTACATTTAAACTTGATTCTCCTGATAATCCAGTGAGGAAGGTAGAAGTAAATGAATGCCTTTTATAGTTGAAAAAAGGGTTGCAGAAATTTTCTTTTCAAGTCCTGGTTTCCTAGCATCATGGTGTCGATAAGCCACTTTTACACGGTCATGAAGTCCTTATAATTGGAATCACATATAATATCCAAATAATTTATATATAATAATATGTGTAATAGTCATGTGTCACATAAAATTTTGGTCAGTGACAGACCACACATACAATGGTGGTCCCTGGTCTCACAAGATCATACCATATTTTACTGTACCTTTTCTATGTTTAGATACACAAATACCATTTGTGTTATAATTACCTGTTATATTCAGCACAGTAACATGCTGTATAGTTTTGAAGCCTAGGAACAATAGATTATACCATAAAGCCTAGGTCTGCAGTAAGCTATACCAACTAGGTCTGTGTAAATATGATGTATGTACGACAAAATTGCTAAATGACGCACTTCTCAAAACATAATCCATCATTAAGCAACACCTGACTATTATATATAATAACTTATCGTCCAAACTAGAATATATTTGGGAAAACTTGTAATGACTAAACTGAGACACTGGACTGTTGCAGGCAAATGGGATGTGATCACACTGTATATAACCCGAATTTAAGCCTTCACTTATGTCAACTTGCTACACATTAATACATTATGAATGTAAAAGATCTAAACCTAACTAAACCCTCATATAAGATTGTTTTCTACAAAATATCAGTGCCTTTACAGTGTATAAAGATAAACTTCTGTGTTTTAACTTGTTACCAAACTCTTCTATCAGTTGAACTTTCTTTTTTAGTTTTATTTTAAAGATGTGGGGTATTATTCAAGTTAGGTATACAAATGTTCATTATGCAGGTACCCTTGTTGGTGAGGTGTGCCCTTCCCTCCCCTGGCAGTTTCCCTCAACTGCCAATCCCACCCCCCTACCCCCCAGGAGTTTCCCACTACTGCCAATCCCTTTCTTAATATAATATTATAATTGTTCAAGGTTCGCTTATGAATGAGAACATATGGTACTCTGTTCTGTTTCTGTGATAGATCACTGAGTATAATAGACTCTAAATCTCCAAGTTGCTGCAAAGTCCATATGTTTGTCCTCCTTTATGACTGAATAATATTCCATTGTGTATATGTACATTATTTAAATCCAGTCCAGCTCCAATGGGCAGCATGGTTGGTTCCATGTTTTTGCTATTGTGAATAAAGCTGCAACAAACGTGTGTGTAGGTATCAGTTGAACTTTTAAGATTCTTTCCAAGCTGGGCGCGGTGGCTCACACCTGTAATCCCAACACTTTAGAAGGTGGAGGCAAGAGAATTACCTGAGCTCAGGGGTTCAATACCAGCTTGAACAACATGGTGAGACCTCATCTCTACAATGAATCAAATGATCAGCAGGGCATGGTGGCACATGCCTGTGGTTCCAGCTACTTGGAAGGCTGAGGCGGAAGGATCACCTGAGCCCAGCACGTCCAGGCTGCAGTGGCTGTGAGCCTGCCCCTGCACTCCAACCTGGGCAACAGTGAAACTCCAACTCAAAAAAAAAAATTCTTTCAAGTAAAGTCAGAAGCTGCAGTTAGTACTATGCCTGGCAGGTAATCATATCTGTTAACTGGTAGTTTTAGGACTAAGAATCTACCTTTTTTTCTACCCATTAACTGAGAGTTTTCATTATTTATTAATTGACTGGTTTTTAAAAAAAAAAATTTGAACCCCAGAGCCTGACCAGTTTTCATTATTATTTTTTATTTTTATTTTTTTGAGTAGGAGTCTCACTCTGTCACCCAAGCTGGAGTGCAGTGGCACACTCACAACCACCGCAGCCTCAACCTGCTGGGCTCCGGCGATCCTTCCACCTCAGCCTTCCAAGTAGCTGGAACTACAGGCGTGTGCTACCATGCGCGGCTAATTTTTTGATTTATTGTAGAGATGAGGTCTCGCCAAGTTGCCCAGGCGGGTCTCAAACCCGCAGGCTCAGGCAATCCACTCATCTCAGCCTCCCAAAGCACGGGATTACAGGCTGAACCACCAAGCCTGGCTCATCACCTACTTTCAGTAACTCTATCAGATGTGTATATACAGTAGACCTTGCCCTTTATCCATACCTGCAGGAGAAGACAGGCTGGTCAACAAATACATTGATGAGAAATGTCTTAAAAGAGATACAGATTGCTGTAGAATAACAGAATGAAGTGACTAATTTTGCCTGGGAGATCAAGGAAGTTGAACTAGACAATGTTTGATCCAAGTTTTACAAGATGACTATAGGGAATGGGGAAAAGAACTACAAACAGAGGTACTAGCATGCTAAGAGGTGCAGGGGTATGAGTTAACCTGGTAGGAAGGAAACTAGAAGCAATTTAGAATGGCTCAAAGTGATAAGGTATTAGATGTGTTTTAGAGAAGCTTCAACTTATAAGGATTTGCATTGTTTTACAAAAACATGGGCAGTTAGTGAGATAATCAGGTTTGCATTTTTAAAAGACCACTTTCACAATCTAGTGTTAATATTAGATGAGAATAATCCTTTAGGCAGGATCAGTAGAGGTTTGGTAATACAGAAGAAATGAGGACTCACAAGGTAGTTGCAAAGAAGATGCACATGAGATATTTAGGAGGTAGAATCATTTAAGATTTAGTAATAAGCCAGGCGTGGTGGCTCATGCCTGTAATCCCAGCACTTTGGGAGACAGAGGCAAGAGGACTGCCTGGAGCTCACGGGTTCGAGACCACCCTGGGCAAAATGGTGAGACTTTACATCTCTATAATAAATCAAAAAATTTGCCAGGCCTGGTGGCGTGCACCTGTAGTTCCAGCTATACGAAAGACTGAGGCAGAAGGATCACTAGAACTCAGCAGGTTGAGACTGCAGTAGCCGTGAGTGTGCCACTACACTGCAGCCTGGATGACAGAGTGGGACTCTGACTCAAAAGGAAAAAACGATTTTTTTAGCCGGGCTTGGTGGCTCAGCCTTTAATCCCGTGCTTTGGGAGGCTGAGGTGAGTGAATTGCCTGAGCCCGCGGGTTCGTGACCCGCCTGGGCAACTTGGTGAGACCTCATCTCTACAATAAATCAAAAAATTAGCCAGCCATGGTAACGTGCACCTGTAGTTCCAGCTACTTGGAAGGCTGAGGTGGAAGGATCGCCAGAGCCCAGCAGGTCGAGGCTGCGGTGGCTGGGAGCAGCCACCGCACTCCAGTCTGGGCGACAGTGAGACTCCAACTCAAAAAAAAGAAAAAAAGATTTTGTGATGTGATTGGATGTACATGTTAAGGAGAGAAAATCTAGAAAAGCTCCTTAAATTTCAAAAATAAACATTTTAACGAAATATATAAATTCACCATCCCTCTTTTCCAGATTCGTGGTGCTCTTAATGCCATCAAAGGCTTGGTTCCTGCCACTTCAGAAAGGAAGCCCAAAGCTGTTGTTACTCACAGCAGTGGAAACCATGGCCAGGCTCTGTCTTACGCTGCTAAATTGGAAGGTACTTTAATTTCTCAGGATACTATATAGAACAGAAAGGAGTGGAAAAGTATTCTTAATTCCAGTGAGAGTGGTTATAGCTGTGCAAACTAATTTTCCAAAGGAGTTCCTATGTGATTGTAAGCAATATGGACATAAGTTTCTATCCTAAATTCTCCTGACTTGTACTAACTAAACATGTTTTCTTCTCTCAGGGATTCCTGCTTATATTGTGGTGCCCCAAACAGCTCCAAACTGTAAAAAACTGGCAATACAGGCCTATGGAGCATCTATAGTATACAGTGAACAGAGTGATGAGGTAAGGAGAGCAATTTCAGTACCACCATAACAGCTTTCATTTGACCAGCTGCTCTTTCTACCTTACTGGCTGCTCCTTCTCAGTCTCTTCTCGTTTCCTCTTTATTTTTCACTGTTAGCATGCCCAATCTTTTTTCTATCTATACTCACTCAGATATCATTAGTCTCATTGTTTAAAATATGACCTACAGTCTAACAACCCCAGCCCTAAACTATCCCTGTAACACCAGACTTTTATATCCAACAACTTTCCTACTTGGATATCTTTTTTTTTTTTTTTGAGTTGGAATCTCACTCTGTCGCCCAGACTGGAGTGC